TGTTGGGAAGATATCATTCAACAAATCCTGAGGAATGAACATCCCTGCAATCTTCTCCCTAAAAGTCCTGAACCCAAAAAGGGACATGCCATGACAAGGTATTGTCTTGCATAGTGGACTTACCCTTAATCACATTTTTTGTTTGGGGCATGGCTTTTCGTCAATAAAAGTTCTTCCTACACCTGACAAAAGGGCACAGCAAAGGCACAAGTGCATGGCAGAAAATCATACAAAGTCTTTAGTCTAAATCCTCTCTATCAATTTAGGGAAAATTATTGGAATACATGTTGAACAAATCCTGAGGAATGAACAACCCTGCAATCTTCTCCCAATGGAGGTCCTGAATCCTACCAAGTTCGTAGCATGACATTGTATTATCTTGCATAGCGGGCTTGCCCACAATCAGCATCGCGTGAACACCCTCAGCCTATATTGTGAACAACAAAATATCAAACCAATTCTATCTGTCTTTTTCACTTGCAGAAATTTTGAACTTGGGGTGGGGAGCGTTCAGAAGTGATTGTCCTAAACCGAGAACGAGCGTTTACCAAAGAAAATCTAAACATGAGTTGTGTACCTTTTTGTGTGCAACTGTTGTCAGTCCTTTTGCAGTTGCCTCACCCAAACAGCTTTGGTCTGAGTTGGTGAGGTGGCACCTTGCAGGGCATGAAGATTGACAAGTTGGGTCTACTTTGCAAGGTCTTACTTTGGTATCTTTGGTCAGCTATTGTGTATATCAAGGAGCATTTGCGACAAAGCGGGAATTAAAACAGAAGTTTACCAACAAAAATCTGATCGTCTGCAAGTAGAATACTTTCTCACATTCTCAAAGTGATGTTCTTCCAAACCAGCCCTTCCCTACAGTCCCCGCCTGCAACAGCTGGGACTAAGACTGGTTTGATGCCTGAAATCAGAAATTGCTCGATATCCACTGGCTTCCATCCACCGTCAGGCATCCTCGCCCCTTCCAAATTCTCCTGCACCCAAGCCCCATCCTGCTTGAACTCTTTGAAGGATTCAGTTAAGGCTCTCTGGACTGTGTTCTCTGGCTCCTAGGTGCTTCTCTTGAATGCGTGTAACATCTTGTGCCACCACCTTGTTTTGCGGGACTTTCTCCTGTCGTTCAGCTTTGCAGTTGCATTCAAATGCAGGAGGAGTCTGGATGCCTGCATCTTATTCCACCTGTACTCGCTGACATTGCACTTCTGGTGTGGCGATACACGTGTTCGTGCCCCATTGAGCAAACCAACTTCCTCAGCGACTTCACGCGTCTGCGTGACGACTACCACTTGTCCATGTTTGAAGGCGGCGCGGGCAAGGCTCATCAGCATCTTCCCACCCTCACCGAGTTCCTTGTCAAAGATGTTGTCAAGAACCAATTGCACGCGAAATCCCGCATCGGACAAGATTGGAAAAAAGTTTTCTGCAACAGCTGTCACATAGGCTTCCTTGCTAACTCTAAAGAAATCTTCGAGCAGTTGCAGGTGTCCTCGTATCAAGACAGTGATGCACTTTGGGTTGTGTTTTGCCCATGTCAGCATGGCTAAAACTACGGCAACGGACTTGCCCGTGCCTGGTTCAGCATGAATCGAAGAGACTCCCGTGGAGGTTGCATCGGATAGCACACTTGTCACCAAATGCTGAAACTCTGTGCCATTCACGGGGATGAGTGGCAATGAGATGTTGGGCACAACGATGTTTCGGGCTTCCTGTGACGTCTTGGCTCTATCCATCAGTTTCTTTGCAAGGAGTATGGCGTGCTGGTGGGCATCGTTGACATTCTCCAATCGTTTCACCTTTTCAATCGGGCGAAAATTCTTGCTTGCATCCAAAACTTGCTTTCCGATATCCGTCAATGATACCCCTACAGCACTGGCAATTGGGTCCAAATATGTTGCCCAAGTAAGAGGCTCTACTGGCCTTGCAGTCTTGCTTGGACGCCTGTATCTGTCTTGCGTCGTTCGTGGTATCTCAACCAAAGCCAACAAAGACCTGCCAACTAGAATGGACAAAGCCAGCGCAAAGAGCTTGAATCCGCGTTTTGCCATGAAAAGGTTGCAGGTCTGGACAACTATGACGCATGTGTATGACACCAAGGTTGATGCATATAACATCATATATATATAATTGTATATATGCATATTGTTTGTGTATATATATATATATACATAACCAAAGGATGTGTGTGTTGTTCCATTGCAGATCAAAAGGGGTTTCAAAACTCTGCTCTAAGAAAAAAAAACCACGAGCACGGAACAAATCAATCTACACATCCGAGTTTCATAGAGACCTGCAACTTTGAGGAAATCAACCACTGACTCTGGGCAAATCAGCCACCGACTTTTGGAAAATCTGCCACCAATTTTGGGAAAACAGCCACCAACTTGGGGACAACTGGCTCCTCCGTCTTCTTGAAAATCTGGCTCCGCTGAAGGGAAAATCTGCCACCAATTTCTGCAAAATCTCCCACCGACTTTGGAAAAATCTGCCACTGACTTTGCGGAAAATCAGCCATCGACTTTGGGAAAAGCAGCCACCGACTTTGAGGAAATCCGCCACCGATTTTGGAGAAATCTGGCACCGACTTTGGGAACATACTTCACCGATTTTGGGGAAATCTGTCACCGAATTGGGGGAAATCCGTCACTGAATTTGGGGAAATCCGTCACCGATGTTGGGGAAATCCGTCACCGCTTTTGGGAAAAATTGGCTCCGTTTTTTTTGGAAAAACATGCTTCGTTTTTGGGACAAACTGGCTTCGTTGTTTAAAAAACACGTCTCCGTGTTTGGGAACTGGTTCGGTTTGGGGAAATTGGCTCGGATTTTAGCAGCTTGGGACAAAGCTCAAGTCTCACTGTTTTGAACGCTAAGCAAGTCTGGGTTTTGGAGGTTTTAAGACTCGGTGTCTCTAAAAAGAAGTCAACCGGTGGGAAGTTGGAAGGGTATAATGCTCAAACCTATAAACTTTGATGTCGAACCTGTTTGGGGTTTGTGTTAGGAACTTGTTTGAGATGCCACAAGCACAAACTGATATACATAGCTCCTATTGAGGACAAAAAATGTTAAACAAATATTAACATATATAACTAACTATATATACACACTATGCCTTGTTACTTTGTAAGTAGTGGGGTTGAAATCCTGATAACAAATCAAACCTTTGCTTTTATCTGGAACGGCTTTGGCAACAAAGAACTGACTGACAGCGAAACGTCTTCTTCATCTGAAGAAGGTGATAAAACAGGTTCATTTGTTGAAAAGGCTAGAAATGCTGAATGGAGAAAACAAGATGACGGATATTACAACAGCAAACCGAACGACGAAACGCATTTCCAAAAATATTACCAAGACAAAACGAAACAACCTTGTGTATGTGATATATGCGGCTCTGCCATGAGCTGCAAATCAAACTTGGCAAAGCACAAACAAACGAAGAAGTGCCAAAGGTGCTTGGTTTGAGTTCACTATGATTTTATGATTTTATGATATAATCTAGGTATTTTTAATGTCAAGATTGGAAAAAGAAAGGGTATTGGAAAGAATATACTACGACGTGAATGAGGGCTTCGGTTCAGCGAGAGACCTGTACGAAAAGGATAGGAAAGTCGATGTAGGCGTAACTTTGGATATGGTTGCTACATGGATGAGGGCGCAACCCAACAAGCAAGCACGAAGAACTACAATTCCTACACTGCACCGTTCCCGAAATATGAATACGAGTTTGCTGCGAGACGTAGGTTCTGAAATCAAAAGTCAACTAAGATATGGTTTAATATGCAAGCATAGATATTTTTTAGCAAGAAATCTCACATAGGTCCCCATCTCCATGTCATCTCCGAGTCACGTGATGATGTCGTGCCCGAACTCTGGGTCCGTGCCCAAGTGCTGACTGATGTCTCCCTGGCAGGGTTGGTGACTCCCACGACTGAACATCCTCCAGATTTGGTTCTTCTAGCTTCCAGTTTATGCGATCCCGGAGTAAACAGCTGGATCCCGGAGTATGAGAACCCGGTGTTTGTTCGCCTTCCACTGGCTCTTTATGTGTAACCCAGTGGATCCCAAAGAGCCACAAACCAAGGTTTTGAGGTCGAAGTGGCTTTAGTCGTTGCCTGGAACCACCTGGGACTCCCAGCGACATCGTGATTTGCCTGGATCCTCTTGGCCCCACGGTAAGATATTACTGGATGCCAAAGCAAATATCGCAGGTTTTTGGGGTGGATGTTTGTCAGTGGAAGTGAAAAAGAGCTCCGAGATGCCTCACGCGTCACGACTCACTCGTGTGGTCGTCTATCGTCTTAAGCATGATGACCCTTAAGCATGGTGTAGGGTAGTTCACTCATCTTCACTTTTATGGTCGTGTGCCCGGTGAAGCCTGCTCGGACATCGAATCGATATGAATCGCTTGGGTTTTGACGGGTGCAATACCCTCAGGTAACCACTCTATGGAGTGTTCCCAGCACTGTTGGGAAAACTATATCTTAGTTTGGCAAAGCTTGTCATCGGTTCCACAAATCGAAAGCAAAGGGAATATACTTATGCCACCCAGACATTGGTATTCTTTCCAGCAGTTCCATCATGTTCCATCAATGTTCTACATATCTACCTTCACCTTCTCGCATCTGTGTCCCTTTGACACGGAAGTTCGCTGGTCTAAAAACCGCTCACACCCCTCACGCAAAACATGTCTGTGTTCATGGCCCTTTGGCGTCCCAGGTGCTGTAAATCTCAGGGTGCTTGAGGTCTGTTGGATGTCCACCTGGGTCGCTCGACGGAATCGGACACCGATGAGAAGGACGTCTTTCGACGTATTTGTGGACCGGCGAGGAGGGAGTGAACCATGGCGGATGGGAGTGCTGTGTAGGCTGAGGGGAATGAATAGTTAGAAGAACAAATGAACAAAAGAATGAATACAAAATAGCTACATCATATCAGCTGATACAGTAAACCCAACCCAACCTTCTTACCTAAAAGCTAAGTGGGAGGAGAGGCACCCTCATCCTTCATTCCCACCTGGCACATCCTCCGCTCCGCTTGGTGCTCCGGGCTCGATCCACGAAGATGCCCACGCTGCTGGACGTCATGACCGAGGTCAGGATCGACTCGGAGGTCGTCGCTTGCCTGACCGCATCGCATGCGCTTCGTGACCCGCCCGGGTTCGGAGCGGATCTCTGAGGGACTCTGTGAGGGGGAGCGGAACGGGTTGGTCACGTGGGGCAGGAGGGGTATGCGGCAGGTGCGGCCGGGGTGGGGGAGCCGAGAAGAAGCGCGTTGAGGTTGCGGGGCGCACAGCAGCGATGGAAGGAGAAGTGAGCACAGGCCTTGTTTGAGAGAGAGTCTAGAAGAACAGCTGAGGAACGGCCCCGGCAAGAAATCCAAACATTGATCTTCCCGTCTCAATGGTCAGCAAGTTTGGTGAGGATATTGATCATGAACGATACCCAAACATCCCTCTGAAGGTCCCAGCCGCTCCCAAAGCCACAAGATTGTCTTGCCAGCCGCTCCCAGCCTGCAGCCTTGCCCATTGATGGCGGGGCAGTTGACTTTAAAGCTCGTGTCGCTGGCGGGATCATTCGGATTCTGATCGTCGCCTGCGGCGGAAGCTTGCGGAACCTCTGAAGGAGGCCCGAATGTTGCGGCCTTATGTGAACGTGTTTCGTGTTTCATAGACCATGGCCCTACACCTCGAAGTACCTCCTCAGAAGGTATTTGGACCCTCCAAACCCACCCCAAACACCTTCTCAGAAGGTACTTGGAGGCCTGGGGTTGTGGGAAGGCATCCTACATGTAGCCTTCCAGCCTTCGCCAGACCGAAACCAGTCCAACACACCGGGAGCCAAGCAGTCGAAGCGTCCGAGCATACCCCCAGTCCATCGCGGGCGCACCGGAACACTCGGCGTTGGCAGGGATGATGCGGAGGCGATCGAGAGGGCCTGGCAGCGTTCCAGACTGGGACACTGCATGGGGAAGTAGGCCATGGTGGTCAACACCTTTAGTGGTAAAAGTATGGCGAAGCACAAGCCACGATGATTGACACACTATTGATGGACGAAATCCTACACCACCTCACCACTTCATCTTGAAAGGGTCGCCCCCTCATTCAATGTTGGGGCGACCCCTCTGAGGAGGTGCTGCAGGATTTGAACTTTCAACTTGTTTTAATTGTCTCACTGTGGTGGCCCCAAAGTTAACTAGGGAGAACGAGGGCAGCAAGAAAATGGTGCGCAAAGTGGTGCAGGATTTTGTCCATCAGCATGTCACATGTCAGTGATGTCAGTGATGTCAGCCTGGCGCCTTCTCAAAAGATATCGATCCAAAGGTGTCTGATCCATGTTCTGTTGTAGAGTTGTTTCTGGGTTCAACCTCATGTGGCTGATGTAAAAGGGCAGCACCACTCTAATTGAAACTCTCTGCAAATACAGCACCAGTGGCATACTGCCGGTCCACCAATATCTACTAGCGAACTAGAAGTCTAGGAGTTCCTTGAGTCCAAAAAGGGAGAAGGCAGCAGATGAAACTCTGAGGCCTCTCCATTGGCTGGAAAGCCAGGCATTTTTGCACCCAACCCTTGGACAATCAAGACATGCCGGTTCGTCTGAAGCCCCAACCCTTAAGGTCGAACTTCACCACCTGAGTGGCAGCGCCATGAAAGGCATCAATCCCGGGGCAGCACCATTGGGCCCGGCAGTGTGATCGCTGATTCAAACTGGCGGAACTGAACACTGCCAGTTGGATGACCAGACTGAACACTTGCCTGAACGTGGCTGAACAAGGTTGTGTTTTTCCCCCCGCGAGCACAAATGGGCTCCCAACAGCTCAAAAAAGAAAGGAGCCGCAAATATATGTCCGATCGCGACATTTACTGCTGTGGTTTGGCCCTGTAACTAACCCTCCTGCGAATTCTAGGAACTTTCTCTGGAAATCTGCACTGCTTTGAACATCCTCCGGAAGCCCCACAGCTGAGTTTACATGTAATTCCAAGAAGATGTTGCACACACTAAGATGGATGCCGCGATGCCTTCACCATGGGGCATTCAAGAATACCCAAATCTTGAGGAGGACTCAGTCAAGGCATGGACTCAGTCAACTTCCATCGACAGGTGGAGACCCAGTAAACCGACGGCCACCCCTTTGGGCTCAGTAAACCGATGTTGATACCCTCCAAGAGACATTTAAAAAAAAACTCAAGATCCATAGGATGCCCTCGACTGAAACCATCTGCTTTTTGGGACCAAGCTCTTTCCCTTCTAAGATCCATAGCACACTTATACAGATCTTATGCACACTTAGGATGAAACACATCTTGTTTTTCTGGCCTAAAAGCATTCCTTCCACCTAACCCCTGGCCCGGCCAGGTGGAGCCCCCAACCACGTTCGTAGGGAAGATGAAGGTCTTCCCACCTGCGAGGGCTTTGAGCCGTCCGGGCAGCCATCCTTGTTATCAGGAAGACTTGTAGGACGGCATGGCAAGAGATTGTGGTAAAGGCAAGAGCTCGACATGTAGTCCTTGTTGGTATCATGGCAAGAGCTCACATTGAGCTTGGTGGTCAAAATGAGACCATTCACGTGGTCCGACCCCGGACATGTGTTGGGCGAGTCCCTTGAAACGGTGTTGGTCCAAAAGGGATCCAAAGGTTGATTTTTGTGGGAATTCCACAGTCGAGTGCAGGGACCAATCCGGTAGACACCTGATACGTATACATGATACATCATGATACTGTATGAAGTATGAACCATCAAACTCCTCCCATATTCTTCACAAGGCTCTTGGTGATGTCCGCTCTTGGACCACTCAAGAGATAATCGCATCGTATCGATTCATATCGTAACGAGGTCGTGAACACAAAGTAAAATAACCCTTCATGTTCTCTACTGACAAGTCCTATATAGACTGTCTGCTTTTCCTATTCACTATCTATGATAGGGTTCCTTTGATTCACTTCTGACCATCTATGAACAATTGAACCCTCTCGTCAACTCCATCCTGTTCTTCCTGTCACCGTGTGTTCTTCAGGATCCGCCTTCAGGGCCCTGGATGGTCAACAAGCCGGCGAAGAGCCAATGCAGCGAGCTGCTGCACTCGTTCTGCGGCGTTCGGCAGAAGCGGCAGAAGCGTTCGGCGTTTGACATCGAAGACGGCCGAGAAAAGGCGCGAATGACATGTGGAAAGAGAGGTCGTGTTTTTCTTGGTTTCTGCAAGAGCAAAGTAGGGGTGCCGGCCGGTGGAGCCAAATGAAATGAGATTGAGTGAAAATTATGAACGCACACCAATTGATGGAATTGAACGTGATTGATTGGAACTCGTTGGGCCACTTGGGGGCAAGCTGGCACGTTTTTATATAGTAAATAGAGAGAGTGAACATGAGTGCACGTCATGTTCAGCTAGGCCAAAACCGTAAACCGAAAATTGGGAGACCTCGCAGATCGACCTGGAAGGTTATTTTTTTACAAAAAAGAACATTCAAATCCAGTGAAGCATCTCCCCGACACCTGGTCCGCCTCCGCCTGCGTCAGAAAACCCGACACCGACGGGTTGGTTTCGGTCCGGGAGGCGGGTTCGAAGCCTCCAGAACAGTGGTTTGCCCCGAAGCCAACCCTGGTTTTGGAGGCTCAGGACTTTTCAGGGCTAATAGAATACAGAACCGATACCTACTTTGTTCGCCTTCCCCAGCCGACTGAAGTCCGTCCGGTCCTCATTGGAGACCATGCCGCAATAGCACACGGCCACAACCTGGAAAAGTGGGTGGAGTCCCAAAAAATGCGCTTGCCGCTTGCCCAATGAAAAAACGAAAGTGAATGAAATGGTTCATTTTTGTGGAGTGGAAGCTGTTTTTAATAGGTGGAATTGGAAGGGATTGCATCTCTGCTTCCTTTCCACCTTTGTGCCTGAGCATGTGTTCTTTAGCAACACGTGAAACGGGCTGTGACTTACTGTTCGTGAGTCCAATGCCCTGCAAATCACAAGAATACAGAATATACCATCCTTCCCGTGCTCGAAGTAAACGTCCTTCTTGCCGTGATGTGCCATCTTCGGCACCGCGCGGCCTTTAACACAAACGCTGAGCGCCCCCGACACCCGCCAGGTTGACGGTCATGGCACGGTCTTTCCCGCTGCCGCTGAAGGAGTGGTACCTCACCCGCGCGCTGCTTCCTCACGGCGACGTGGGCGCCGTGGGGAGCGATTGAAGGGAGCGGGAACAGATGGTTCTGGATGCTTTTGGTGCGAGAGGGGAGGAGCCATGACTCCAATGTCATGGAAGACCTCCCAGGCGGTCTGAACACCGCACTCTGCGGGAAATAGACCCATCTACTCATTGCGCCAAGGGAGGTTTGCCTGTCACAAACCCACATCACAGCCTCGGTCGGGGAAAGAACACCAAAAGGCGACGGATGTCCGAATTCCACGTGGGGCACTGCGAAGGCGTGTTGTCAGAGTTCACATCCACTTGTGCAATGAAGGACCGCGCCGCCTGGATTTCGGCATTTCGCAGCACGTTCGTTGCAGGGTGTACGATGTCCAAGTCACGTCCTAGGTCCACAGAAAAAGATGTCGCAATGATGAAGCAGCTAAAAACTGAGAAATTAGGTGCTGTATGACTGAGCATGAACTTCCTAAGCTTCCCAATCGTTCTCACTTTCCTAGTGTCTATGACTGTGCAAAGCAATTTCCTGGTCCCTACTCAACACAAAACAATGGAAAGCATTCTGGAGAATGGCCACTCACAAACATAAGCAAGGACTCCTCAGTATGGAACCTAGACCGATTTGTGTGCTTCTGATTCTGAACCCGTTCCAGGGGCTTTGTTAAGACTCAAGTGATCTTTCTCTGCGTGTCACGGTGTGTCTTCTAACATCCCCACAAATTAAGAGGGGGGGACGTCCAAAAATGTAACTTACATTTTCCTATGTTTTCGGACCTCAAAAATGTAAGCTTACATTTTTTTTTTGGACCTCAAAAATGTAAGCTTACATTTTTCCCTTGTCATAGGAAAAATGTAAAATCTCCATGCTGACGTATGTCGAAGTACGCAAACAGCCTGCAAATGACATGCCAAACATTCTGCAATCATCCGGAGACTCAAAATGTAACTTACCTACGTGGGAGGTCCCTATGTTACATTTACTGAGCCCCCCCCCACCCCCTCCCAAACAGTTCACCGTAGATACCTGGGAGGACCTTAACTTACAATTAATTCTGGGCTGGGGACCCCCCGAAAATTGTAACTTACATTTTGGTAGGTCCCCCCCCCCCAAAACCATGGTTAGTGGGGTAGGGATCTTCTAACAACTTCTCGACTCTGCCTCTTCCTGGTTTTCCCTTGCCACTGCAGCACTTCTCCCACGGTCTTGGTGGACCAAATCGACCCCGCCTGCTTGCTGCTGGGTCCAGTGACCAAGGTCAAAGAGTAGCGCTCCTTCTGACACTGACTGTCCATCTGGCAAGGTGAGGCCACGGTGTTCGCAGGGAAACCGCAGGGCAAAAGCACCCAGAAAAGGCCGTTCAAGTCTTGCCACTTTCTGGCAGACTCAGCCTAGCCAGTAAACCGTATTCTGCCATCAGACAGTCAGCCGGAGTGTGACCAATGATGGGTGTGGGTTCTGAAATGCGAACCATACTCTTGCTGTCTCAAATGAGCTCTATGTTCCTTGGCTACCTTTTAGATAAACACTGGGTCCTCACATTCAGTCCCGAAAATTGCAACCACACACATGTTAACAGGAACTTGAGACGATCGAAGTCCAAAAAGCACCTCTCGGCGATCGGCACGAGCTGCATCGCAACGTCGAGACCGCCTTTTCTTGGAAGTCAATGGGCCGAGCTGCATCCCAACCTAGTGATCATGGGAGCACCGGTGACGAAGGGAAAGAGTTTGGGCCACTACTGAGGGGGCGGGGACTCCACCCGTTGCGTGCAGTTCTTTTCGCAAGACTCAAACATACTGAAACAGTGTCTTAGGCTTGATCACACCGGAAAGCTCTTCTTCCTGGTGAAGGCCTTTCATGGAACTGTGCATTAAAGATCGAAAGATCTGTCCTGACACCTGAAGCGTCTGTCCCTACTGTTTACAGCCACTGCGCGGGCGACTCGCGGCAGCCACGCCACGCTACGCTCCACGCCACGCTACGCTGGGCACAGGGGGGCAAGTCGTCCAGTGTCTATCACGGTCCATCCGAGTCATACAAATGACTGGGCACCTTTTTGGCCCCAGGAACCCAAAAAAGAACAGCAGTATGCTGCAGTATGTCTCCTGCACTTACTAGTGTTACTGTAGTTGCTCCATTGGATGTTGCACCATGTTCAATCACATATGCAAGAGAAAAAATCCCAGGGAGCGTCCTTATCGCCGGAAAGACCTCCTGCAGGGTCCAAAAAGGCCTGCTGTCCCATGGGCTCCCCGGCTGAACTGTTCCATCAAGGTCCTTTGCAAGGTGCCTTGACCTCAGGATTCGCTCTGGTCCCAGGGTCAGTTATATAGTGGGGGATCCAATCCAACCAAATGAGGGGGAACTTGATTGCAGCAACTGGTAGACCAGCATGAACAGGAGATAAAGCTTTGACACAACATGTTCTGACCCATGCAAACATAGGGAGAACTCATATCTTGATGAAATCAGGAAAATAAACGATGTCCAATATGTCATACTTGGTAGCCCCTGAGTCCTATTTTATATAAGAGGTCCTCAAATAAATGGAAACCCGATTCAAAAAACATCCAGAGGGGAGGGGAGTGGCTTTTCTATCCGAATCACGATAGATTCTATTCTTTCTATGAACATCTCATCAATCATGAAGTTCACCAAAAGCGATCGCCGGAATTGTCCCAACACCCTCAGATCGCCAAGGGTCCATCGACCACCTCCCGGTCAAAGGACATGATGTTCACCACTGCCTGGTCGGCCGCTGTCTTCTTCGGTGCTCGGTCGGTGGTGAAATGGAGATGCGGAGATGTTGGCAGCGCCGAGGTGTTGTTCAGCGGCATCGTCTTGCTTTTTGTCAGGTATCACACTTGGTCAAGGAGACGGAGCTGGAGACGGAGGTCCGAAAAGACAAGGAGAAAGGAACGGGAAAGAAAGCAGCTGACTGGAGGAGATCTACCAGTGGTGCTTTGTATTGCTTTCTGCAACCACATCAAAACGGGCATCTCAAAAAGATTCACATTATCTTCACATTGATCTCCAGAGAATTGGACCTCGCAAACAAGCATCCCAGGCCCCAAACAGCATAGCCACAGTAAACACCTGCCACAGTGCTCACACTGAAACCGCACGTTTTTTCGCGCTGGGCAGGCCTTTCCGGAGTACATGTTGCTCTCAAATGGACTTGGAAAGTTTCCTCAGCTGCTGCCGTTGGCTCGACTGGCATGAAGGTTAGGGTTGGTCTTTTGACAAACTGTCGGAAAAGGTGGAGTCAAATGTTCTTTCCCTTCCTGCTCTCTTTCGTTTACCCTGAGGCCACCCAGAAGTCCCCCGAAAAAACAACTATTTGCTTAGCAAGATTCACCAACCTGAAATTTAGCCGTCGAAGATGAAGGCTCCTACTCAACTGGACGACACTCAACTGGACCACCCCTCTGTGTCTTGATCACTTCCATCAACCACGAAGTTGCACCATCGACTGTTGCGCATTAATTGATGGTAAATGGGTGTTCATCTTGCGATTCTGAGTCCAATCCAGCCAGGAAAGTAGTCCGCCAAGTCCGATCCACAAACCAAGAGGCCCAAGGATGGGTCCAAGCCCATGATGCCACCATAGAGCGTCACCTCAGCTCGGCGAGCGGCGGAATAGGAAGAGGCCGACGGGTCAGGAGGGTGACCGGTCATCCGAAATGCGACGGGTCATCCATGAGAAACAGGTTTCTACGAAGATTTTCCGCCACACACAGAGCTCAGTCGATCGAATTGCAGCGTCTTCACAGCGCTGAGCCTGAGGTTCCAGACGGATCCAGGATGGCCTACGTACTTGATGGTTGGGATGGGCGTGATCGCCTCGCTGTCCAGCGATTCAGAGACGGAAAAAGCACCGGAAAAGGCGCGAACGCGGTCAGGTCCTGGGGAGGGCATGGCATGGCTGAACAGGCCTTCAATCTGGTTTCGTTTGTGGAGCAACGCAGTTCCGGAGGCTCTGTGGAATGTTCACCTGGACCCTGAGGAGATGCTTTAAGTAAGCAATGCAAAAGGCCACACCAAAGCCCAAAGATTCGCGTGAGACAATCATCCCCGCCGAAACCACTCTCACCGCCACCCCCACCCCCATGGCCCATGGTGACACTGTCTAACCCACGTGACACCCACAGTGACGAGCTCTGACCCACCCTGACTGCGCGCGCGCGCGCATCGTCGACCGGCCTGTCCGTCCGGATAGCTCTGACTGGCGAAGGCAAAGGCGCTGGTGGTTTGCACCGTGCCCACCTTGAACCTCGGTGTCCCCACGCGCGTCCAACGGCGTGTCTCGGGCGAACGAGTGAGCACCCGGTGAGCCGTCTGACAGTGGAAAAGTCCAGGTCGGCGAGAAAGTGTCCAATCAAATTGACCGGTTCCATGTGTAGTTTTATGTTTTTTAAAACTTGCTTAATTACTGACTAACATAGACCTTGAAAAATGGACGGACCTTGCAAAAAGGACCTTCCTTTACGGCCCGCCGGTTTTTCATGTCCTTTCCATGTCGTCTGCGGGAGGTTAAGAGTGGATGTCAGGCTAAATTGAGGCCATTTCAAGTCGGCAACCCACTCCGACCAGGTCGGCGTCCAGGTCCCCTTGGATTCGATGAACCTGCCTGACCAGGCCCACCCTCCTCCGGCACCGTCCCAGCGGGTTTCCGGGCCAACTCGCCGGATTGTCGGGAGCTGAGTTGCAGTAGCCTTGGCTGCAAAACGCGCGTGGCGCGTGGGTTCAAGGTTAGACCGATGACAGCGATATACCAACAAAGGTCCAAAGTCGGTAGATGTTCATATGAGTTGTATCTAAACGGCGTAATCAAATGATTGAGGACTGAACTGAACCATTTCATCTAAGATGTTGACCCCCTCCAAAGACCAAGCATATATATATATATATATCCTGCACCCGGAGAAGACATCTCTGGGCAGGGATGTGTTGGATCTGAGTCTTTCAACAAACAGACTACAACAACGGAGATGCAAGTCTTCTCTGTATCCCCTCAATTCACGCTATCAATTACATCTATGTCTAATATTATATACTTGGGCTCAAAACATCTAGAGTGTCTTTTACAGTATACAGATGGGGTGACTCTTCAAAAAAACCACCCGTGAAATAGCCTAAACCCGTCCGGAGCGCGTAAACCCGCAGCGCGCTCCTCGTCTACGGTGCGAGAACCCTCAGCTTCCCCACAGACATCCAATCCCTCAGCCGGTCGCTCGTCTACGCCCAAGCGCGCTGCGCCCGTTGCGCTGCGCCCGGTGCAGGAACTCGGAACGCAGTCAATCTGGATGTCGTTGAACCAGACCCATTGCTGTGGAGGCCAAAGCAACCACGCGGTTTGTATTCTTCATAGGGGAATGACCCAATGGGTTGGTCTATTTTGTTCCAGGGGTCAAACGGTGGTCTCCCTATTCAAAAAACGCACCCATATTTCGATGGAAGTAAGCAGTGCCTCGAAAGATCTTGCAACAAGCCGACAGGTTCCAAGAAAAACCGTAGTTCCTGGGATCCTGGGAAGAAGCTCTTGCTTGGGACAGGGAGAAACTAGCGACAGGTGACAGGGGATTCAGGGGATCTCCCCACTGGACAAGCTGGTTCTCCAAGACACCAGCGGCCACGCGACGACAAACCTTGAGGGGAAAGTTCCATCTGTGAAATGTCCTACAAAAATAAAAGAACCACTTGGACTTCTCCTGTGTTCCGTAGGTAGACTATGTGCGTCAATAGACTTTAGGAGGAGGCTAATCACCAATCACCTGGCTCACTCTAGTGGAAAACACAACCCCCGAAAAAAACATTCCTTGGATGCCTCAGCCTGGCTCAGCCGCAGGCATTCTTCAAGCTGAGGTTGATCTTCACCTGCTTCTCTCTCCACGCCTGACGCATGCTTCAAGTCGGTCGGTCGATTGGTCAGTCAGTTGAGTTCTGCATGATCCGTGCTGTCATCGGTTTACTAGAGTGGACGTGTCTGTAGCACAATTGAATTTCAGCGCTTCGGTTGAAAAAAACAAGCATCATGCAAGCTCGTTGTGGGCGGAATGAGGTGGCTGGTGTCTGAATGAAAATGATGTCAACATATTTCAACGGTTTTTTCTGCAAGAAAACACACCCCGGCCCGTAAAAAGCCACACGCCCCAACCACCGCCCCCTTTTTCCCCCAAGAAAAAACCGCCTCACGCCGCGGGCGCTGAAAACCGCACCATGCCGCACCGGCACACGGCGCAAACCCCGCGCGCGCGCGCGCGTGCCTTGTAGAGCCGACTGGTGCCACCGT